AATTTTTAATAAATGATATCAGAGTTATCATAATCCTGATAACTTTGTCAATAAATAATAAGATTGGTTCCTTTTTGTGGTTGTCTTAGTATTATTTGTGGAATAATTTGACCTTTTTGGTAACCTTATTATTAGGACTTGGAACTTAATTTACTTAAATATACCTGATTTGGATTAATTTCGAAGTCGAGTCACGTGATTTTGGAACGCCGAGAGAATTTATTCGGTATTATGCTGCCTTTTACATTGTAAAACTGATCGACCGTATTGGTTTAATCATTCCGCATATCAACAGCAATGATATTTTTTTTTATGATTATCATTTGCTTTTTTGTTTTTTCCTAGAAACCGCCTTTTTGCTGATTATCAGAGAGCATGTAAAATAAGTGCGCTCGGCACGCATAGTATAATTTCCTTGAAAGGATGTTTTGGTAAATTCAGGTGGAATAGGACAAAGCCTTCGGAACAAAGGAAAACTTCTACTCTTCAAGCAGTACTTTTTGCAAACAAAGAAATTAGCATACGATGAGAATAGATTCCATGCGCACAAAGAATAAGAGCAAGTCTAACCCATTATAGACTAGACTTTGGAAATGTCAATAATCTAACGGCAGAGAAACTTTCAAAGACACTTTGAAGCTTTATCAGTTTACGCTTCATAGTTGATTAGAAATCAGAATCTTCTCTTTATGCTGCTTTCCGATGACAAAGAGAGTTTTATATTTTAAAAATACACATTGTGCCACAAAGCATAAGGTTTAATTCATGGGAATCAAAATTGTGACATCAATATCAATGAATTTCTATATCTATGCTTCCTTTGTATGATTGATAGGAAGAGATTTTTATTATATTATAATTTTTTTTGTATAATATGAAAGTAAAATTATTTTTTATATTGTTGATTAAGTTATTTTAAACTTAATTAGAGGATTATTACATATTTCATTAAAATATATTGAATCAGTGGTAATTTTTTTTCTTTTTCTTTTTTGTAATAAAACAGTTTTTTTGTGGTTTTTCATGCAATGGTTGATAGCCTCCAAACTTAGGACTCTACCCTATTAAAGGGCATGGGGAAGCTTGTTGACACTAAACAATGAATAAAAAATTTGTAAACGGAATATTTAGACGACCCACTTCTCTTTTCTTCCACTTAAATTTTAAGCAGTGATAATTTTAGAAATATTAATAATAATCACAATAATAATTTTATGAGAGGTTTTAAATTTTACCCTTAGTTATAAGTTAAATAGAGAGATTTAGACTTTAAAATTTAGTCCAATCATCCTCAGGAGCATGTGCCCGTTATTCTGTAATTTATTCAATTCCACATTAAAAATTCTAAGTCGACCCTTGCTTCGACCTTTGAAGCCACACAAAATACCCACATTAACCCCAATCTTGAATACTAACTTGGAGGATTCAATTTTTTCGTTGTTTTCTCATTAGAAGAGGCAAGCATGTCTAGATTCAAAATCTCCGAGGAGACAGCTAGGGAGATAGCAAACTTTCTTCAAACACTAACTGAAGAAACAATTAGATGGATGGTTCATGTGACCATTCAGAAAGAATGGTTTGTGTTTGAAGAACAGTTGCAGGGCTATTGTTATTTTCCCACATCGGAAGCTTCATTGACCTGCTAACTCTTCTTTTTGTAGGTAATAATATCAATCTATAACATGACTCTGTCATGCTTCAATGTTCACTTCTTTACCATTGTAACAAAGCCTCATTGGCATGGGTTTTTTATGTTTCTTGCAGGTGGTATGATAGCTACAATAATTCCGGTGATATATGTGAAGCACAGGGATAAGATAAAGAAGTGTAGCAAGATAATGAAGGTGCAATCAGGAAGATATTGTGAGCTGATTGATGAGAAGTTAATTAAAGACAGTGAAGTACAAGGTTGTCAAAAAAGAGAAGAAGAGACGGGGAAGGAAAGAAAAGAAAACTGACCAATCATTGTTCATGGTTTCAAGCCAAGCTTATTGTTTTGTTTCTTTTATCACAATGACCAGTTCATAAATTTATTTTTCCTTTTTGTTTTAAGCCAAACTGACTATACTTGTATGTTGTAGCAGATGAATAATTTGAGGAAATGACTGTAAATATCGTAAGCGGTCGAATTGGCTAGATTGAAAAATAAAAACTAAATCAGTTTCACTTAGTACTGTTGTTTTTCCTTGTTTTGCATCTGGTCTGAACAGAACTGTTTATGTTCTGTTCTGTTCTTTCTTGTAAGGCTGTAGCATTTTTTTTTTTTCTTAGGTGATGAAAGGCTATCCCATTTCAGCGCCAAAGTAGTAGATTTTAATAAAGATTTATTTTAGATTTACAAATCGTTTATTGTTGACAATAAAAATCGAATTTAAATCTTATAAGTGAAATATTTAATTCTTATCAATTAAATCAACTAATTTGTTGAGAAAAAAATCCACTGATTAAAGATATAAAAAAATTTGGATAACATCTTTTTTATCTTTAATATTTAAAATTTTTATATAATAAAAGTAATAAAGTCGTGAAAACATCTTATTTAAATGCTTGTTATGTTCTAAATTTAAAGTACGAACTTGTTTATACTAATAGAGCCCAAATCAAGTTTTTTAAACAAAATCTTGCACGAGTTCTTAAAATGAACTCAAAAACAAATTTGCTTTTCGAGCTTCAACTTGCAAACTGAGGTGAAATCAAATCGAATTTCAAGCAGCACCCAATTTGCTTAGTCTTACCCGTCCCATCTTTAGAAATGTCAAAACAAACTCTGTATATGGTAAATTTCTCTTATAATTAGTTAGAGCCGGATTTCATGGCAGGCGCATAGCATAGCATGTTTAACTCCATATACTTTCATTTTCATTGTTAGTCTATCTGTCGTGTCGACCCTTTCACTGTTGGATGGCACACTACAAAATGCCAATTAAAAGTTAGAAAATTATATTGTGCCTCTCCAATACTTTCTTGCTTTTCATTCACATTTTCTTACTCAGTAACAACGAATTAACATAATCAGACAGCAGTAACATGCAACTAGCTAGCCCTGCTATGGGGAAGATTTGCGAGAAGACAAGGTTTGAAGTAGCAAAGCGAACCGACGAAGGTTATGTCACGGCCAAAAAGAACTGAAAAACAGCCTTTGGAAAGAATTAAAAATAAAAATCTAGATTATTTCAACTCATGTAATTAATAATCTTTTGTATTCCAAAAAATTTTTGACTCGTGTACCTCCAAGAATTGTTGCTATAGCATTTTTAACGCTGCATCGGCTGTGCCTGTGATACTGATGCCTACAGCCAGCTAGCCACCTGTCTGTCAGAGGTTGAAGTTTCATGGGACTGCATTTAGATGATGTTCGGTGGGGATCTGACCATGAATTGTTTTTCCTTTATGGAGAAGCTTGGATCTTGGTCGCCTGGAATGTGCCAAAATAAACGACGGTTTTGGCCTGATATGGGCAAGGTGGATCATTGGTATTATGGCTGTGTGCTTGGCTCCAGAATCCAATTAATATCAGAAGGTTGAGTATTCCAGTCTCGTCAGTGGCTTCTACATTGTTGAAGTTGTAAGTTTAAACAGTTTATAAAAACCAAAAGTGCGTGGGAAAAGTATCCTCGGACACGGTCCAGTAAATTTGAAGAGGCGGCAGAGTAACTTCGTGGATCTTAAAAGTAATTAATTTTCCATTATAAAAAAAGGTTCCTAGGGCAAAAAGTATGGTTACAGATATGGCTTTAGAGGCACTTTCAGGAATTGCAATTCAAGAATTACTAAAAGTCATCGAACAAGAAAGAGTGACAGATTTTAGATTTTAATCGACTCTCAACGATCTCAAATATACCCTTGACTCTGCCTTTCCGAAGATCAGTCAGATACGTCAATTCAGAGAGTCACATGGCTTGCCAAATGATGAACTTCACAGGGTGTTGGCGCAATTGAATCAAGCAATGGAGACTGTTGATAAGTGCTCCAGGGTAGCTTGCTCGAACTACTGCAAGAAGCCCAAATACACCAAAAAGCTCGTGAGATTGGATGCATCTGTTCGGAATTTCTTCTTCATAGAGTGGCAGATTTATCAATATGAGAATGCTACACGAATTGAAGTTCAGTTGAAGGAATTCGATGGGAAATTGGATCTAATTCTTACAGACAAAAGAAATGCTAGTCATAAGATCTTTAATCAAAGTCGATTTAAGGATTGGGGTGCAGCGGGTGAATCGAAGAAAATTGTCCTGTCTCTACCTATTTGGATCTTTATGTATCTAATATCGTTTATGAGGATTCCCCAGATGGGGAATTACAAACAGCTAGTCTAAGTTTGAGGGAAATATGTGAATAAGATTTTAAAAATAAAGATGTAAAATAAAATTAAAATATGTTCAAATTTCAATATTTATAATTCTATTTTTTATCTTCAAAACCCGCGATCCACTTTTTAATAAAAAGTTTGCTTTTCTTTCTAATTAAAAGTAATCAACATCACATGAAATGTAGAAACATGTTATTATTTTTCCTAATGTTATTTTTCTTTCTACTTGTACAACTTATTGTTAGTTCTTCTCTTAAATTTTATCAAACTCCCGCAGGAAAAAGCTTTCAAAATTTTCAGCTGAAAGAAAAAACTACTGGTTCTCACTTAATTCAACACAGCTTTCAAAAAGTTAACAATTTCCCGAAAAACATTTGGAATGAAGTTGATTATAAGCCATAATAGACCATTTGGATTGATTTAACAGGAATGACATGATCAATGTAAATATGAAAACATAATTCCGAAACAAAAATCACGCACTCTCATGACAGCTATTTGCTTAAACAGCTGGTTGAGTCAGACTTTTTTCTTCGAAGATTACGCAACTGCTTCTAGGTTTACAGGTGCAAGTACAAATTATCAATGGAAAGGAAGACTTCAAGACAACAAATAATCAACCAGATCAATACAGAGATGTTATTTCCGTCCTCACTATATATATATATATATATATATATATATTGGCTAATAAAAAATATCTATATTACTCCCTATAAATTTTATCAAGTGAAAAATCAGACTCTGCCAACCAAGAACTCTAACTTGCTCCTAATATTTATAGGAAATTTGCTAGGGTGACGTAGCAATGGCATCTGGTGTTAGGAACTCTTGAAACTGCTACCACAGAGCTATATTGGGCTTCTTTAAGGGCACATGATACGCCCACCAATCTTAAGTCCATCTATGAATTACAGGAACTCACTCCTATCAATGGTTATGGAAAGAAAGCAACTGTATCAAGGACTAGTGGCAAATTAAAAGATTATCATGGGAGTAATTTCCTAGTGCAGCTGAGCAATGCATCATAGCTAGTTCATAACTTTGCTAAGGTCCCTTTGGCAGAACTATGGAAGAGGTATCGGCATATGAGGGAAACTATAAAACGGCAAGCTTCTCTTCAACGGATCTCTCAGGTAAATATCTCCTTGTCATCAACCAAATTATGGAAGCTACAGCACCACAGTAAATTTTGGTAGCATGGACAACTTAAGTTCCATAAAATACTCAAGAACCAGAAAAGCAGGTGGTGACAGGAGGTACCTCAAAATCCATTTCAACATAACGCCTCAGAGTTTGGGATGCATGAACCAAGTACAAAAACCAATGTCCTCGTGAGCAGTACAAGTTAGATTGACTTGAACATTTAGAAGTCTCAATTCAACTGCTCAATCCAATAACAGGTCTGCCAACAGACAGCCAAGTAAAGCAAGTGACTTCTATCGATTCAGAGTACAAAGAAAAGATCAAAAGAATACATTTAATTGAGTTCCCACAGCCAAATATGATCATTGTTGAAAAATCACCACAAATTTTATCATTAGAACGTTTATCCACTTGACGAAACAAGGTATTGAGTAAACATACCCTGTATTATTGAAGCAGGAATACCTGATCAGCTTCAAGTGGCACCATTTAATACTCTCTATTCTATTGTACAAGCAATGGAGTTTCCACAGTCAAAAATTGCATCAAAGTGCAGCAGCATTTTTAGCCTGGTTAAAATGTCTGATGAAGTTTTGTCTAAATCACCAATAGTCTCTACAAGAACAGTTTCCATCCTCAAAGCAATGGAACCGATTAGAATCCCTTACAGTTATTTTTCTGTTAACAATCTGTGAGATATATTTAATGGCATTATGGCAATCTACACATGTTCTCAAATTCTTGAAAACCTTGATTGGTGTTCCTGGAGGAGTAGAAATGATTCCAAATGCAACTGCTAACTTCTCACTGTGGTATGAGAGGTTTTGCTCCTTCTGCTCCTCCTCCACATCATGCAGAACAAACTTGGTGTCGGGGACATACCCTTCTTCCCTCATTCGTTTTGAAAGCTTACCCAAGAAATCATGTATTTCCTTGGATTTTGGGTGAGAAGTATCTCCAACTAAGAAAAGATGTAGCTCTCTCTTGACCTCAATCCAGCTCAAACCGGGTTTCTTTACCACTCCTCTGTCATCCATTGACCTTCTAATTTTTGCTACTTCATCCCACCTACCAGCAGTGGCATATATGTTGGCCATAGTAACGTAGGTGGCTGGATTTTCAGGCTCTATCTCAAACAGTGCTTGAGCAGCTTTTTCTGCCAGTTCAATGTTTCCATGAATTCTACAACCACCAAGTAAGGAAGCCCACAAAAATTTATCTGGTTTCATGGGCATCTTATTAATGATATTCTCAGCTTCGTGAAATCGACCAGATCGGGCCAATAAATCTATTATACAAGCATAATGATCAGCAGTATGGGTTAATCCATGACTGTCCTTTATTGAGTGGAAATACTCTAGCCCTTTATCAACCAATCCAGCATGTGTACAAGCAGAAAGAACCCCTACAAAAGTAATATGATCAGGTTTCGTACTTGATTTAAGTAACAACTCAAAGTACTTCAAAGCCTCACTAGGCTGACCATTTTGAGCATAACCTGTGATCAAAGAAGTCCATGAAACTAAATCAGGCTGAGGCATCCCATTAAACACCCTTTTAGCGCTCTCAACATTTCCACACTTGGAGTACATATGAACAAGAGCACTAGCAGCAAAAGAAAAGGGATTAAAATCAATCCTTCTCATGTACCCATGAACCTGCTTCCCTATTTCCTCCGCAGTGTTATCAGCACACGCATTCAAAACACCAGCAAACGTAAATTCATTAGGTCTTATCCCTGATTTCATCAGCTGAGAAAACAATTCAAACCCTTCTTCCCACCTCCCATCCTTAAAATACCTATCAATCATTGCAGTCCAAGTAACAATGTCTTTATCCACCATCTTATCAAAAACAGACCTTGCTTCCTCTATGCTCCCACATTTCCCATACATATCCATTAAAGCACTCCAAACAACGTCATCCAAATCCAACCCAGCTCGCATTATACGACCATGAATCTCCTTCCCTATAATTAAACACCCCATGGAAGCAGAAGCAGCTAAAATGCTAGACACGGTAAACTTGTTCAATTTCGAAAGCAAGCTCATTTCGTTCATTCTGTAAAGCTCTAAAGCTTCTTTGGGCTTATCAAAACGAACATAACCTGAAATCATGGCAGTCCATGAAAAATTATCTCTTTCAGGCATTTCATCAAACAACTTCTTTGCTTCTTTAAGCATTCCCATTTTCGCATACCCAGAGAGCAAAGTATTCCAAGAACACAAATCCTTTTCACTCATTTCATCGAACACTTTTTGGGCATCTGACAAACTCCCGCATTTTGCATACATATCTAACAGACGGTTCCAAATAACTATCCCGGGTAAAAACCCAGAAAATTTTATGTGTTGGTGGACGGTTTTGCCATCGGTGAGAGCTCTGTTTTGGCAGCAAAGCTGGATGAGAGTTGAGTAAAGAGAAGCTGGAGGTTTTTCAATTTGATTGAGGATTTGAATTGCATCTTTTAAGCGTTTTTGGTTGCATAAATTGTGTAATTGGTTTAATAGATTGTCTTTGCTGTTTGGTTTGAAAAATGTTTTTTGCTGGAAATGTACATGGGTTTGGGTTTCAGAAGAAAATGAAGAAGAGATTATTGCTCTGTTTGGGTGAAACAAAGATAAAGAATGGGAAACTCTGGGATTTATTGACTTCATAGTTTGAGAAATTTTTGTTGTATGATGCAGTTTTAGCTATGGTGATTTACTATTTTGATGAGAAATTTCAAGGTGAATTTTGGATGATAATCTGAATAACCTGAATACCAAACTTAAAACAAACAAATAACAACTCAATTTTTCTTAAAATCAAAATGATCCGACACGAAATGCAACCCAATCGACCCGACCCGTTCTTCCCTATTTAAACGTTTACCTCTGTCCTTTTCTTTGACTGTGCCCAAACCTCAATGTCAACAACCAGGGCGACTTAAAGAACTTGTAAACAAAGAAGGGAGAAATTTCACCATTAGTTCGTACTCCCTACGCGTTAAACCTCAATAATTATTCCTTTCTTCCGCTTCTATGAAGCCAAAAGCCTATAGTCGAATATTCCCAGACCTGAAGGAACTTTCGAGGAGCTTACTAATTAAGGAGTAGAGTGGAGAAAAAATATAAATTGAGTCCTTTATTTTTGTGGGTTCTTCTGTTTATTGCAAATCTTGCCAAGCTCAAGGAAAAGCATTGATATTTCTTGAATTTGGGTTTCTGGGTTTCCATGGCAGCCGCTTTGATTGGAGGAGCTGCTTTAGGGGCAGGTTTTGGAGAGCTTTTAAGAGCCGTTATAGAGGCGAGTAAAACGGCTGCCATGTTTCGTGATGCCTTGGAGGAACTGCAATCCACGCTTTCATCTATTGAGCCAGTAACCAGAGACATAAATTCATTCAACAAAGTATTTGATAAGGAGCACGAAATTAAACGGCTCAAGCAAATCATTGATAAAGGACAGAAACTTGTTAGAAAGTGCTCTAAAATCCAGAGGTGCAACTTCTTCATGAAGACTTGTTACACATACAAACTCCAAAGATTGAATAAATCGCTTGAGAGATTCTGTCAGATTGATATGCAAACACAGCAAATGAGAGACATCAAAGAAATCTTATTTGATGTTAGAGAGATTGATAAGGAAGTGAGAAGATTCAGTTCGAAAGTGGGGTCCGGTAGCGAGAACGGGATGTTTAGTCGGGTTGCAGTTGTGGGTTCATTCAAAGTTCCCGAGCCTCCAGGAAAAGTTGTTGGATTCGATGCACCCTTGAAAGAGCTAAAGATGAAGCTTTTTAAAGATGGGATTTCGGTCATTGTTGTGTCTGCTCCGGGAGGATCCGGGAAAACAACGTTGGTTAAAGAGCTATGTCGTGATGAAGAAGTCGAAGGTATCATTTCTTGTGCTTAGCTTGTCTATGCTTGACTTTAGTTTCTGGTCTTGACTAATTTGATTTTTAGATGGACATCTGTTGATTTGTTTGTGCCATATGTGGAACCATAGTTTTGAAAATTCATTTGAATACATTGATTCAATCTTGTGTTGTCAACTCGAATTGGAATTGAAAACCCTACCGTGTAAGACTTAGCAGGATAGCTAGTAAAGAAATTTTATGAGTCATTTTAACAGTAATTAAATTTCTTCCGTGGTGTAGTCCTTCAACTGGAATTCTACTCAGACAAGCAATTGAGAAATCTTGGGTTCAATTTACTTAATTCTCCTGCATTAGTATGGGAGGATATGTTTGTCACTGACACAATGCTATGAAATATCTTCGAAACTTTGACAGATTTCTAATGCAGAGTGTTTGAACAGGAAAATTTAAAGACAACATCTTCTATGTCACTGTTTCAGAGGCATTCAACCCGGAGCTCATTTTGCACAAATTACTCCAGCTTAAGGATCATAGAGTGCCTGAATTTCAAAGTGAGGAGGATGCCCTGAACCACTTGGAACAAAACTTTAGGAAAATGGCAATCAATCCCATATTACTGATCCTGGACGATGTTTGGCCTGGATCTGAAACCCTTGTGGACAAGCTCAAGTTTACATTGCCAGATTACAAGATCTTGGTAACATCAAGATTTGACTTGCCAAGATTTGATTTTACATATCCTTTGAAACCGTTGAATGATAATGATGCTATGACTCTTTTTCATTACTCTGCATTCCGGGAAAATGGAAATCGTTACATTCCATATGATCTTGTGAATAAGGTACTTTTATCAGTTTGAAGACTTATTTTAACTTTCACTTCTTGTATGAAAAATTAAACACTTTTCTATTTCACTGTTGATTTGCCACTATAATTTAAATTGAAGATAGGTAGGTTCAAATCTTGATATTTGGACAGCAAGGTTATTAAATCAAAGTGTTTTCCTGTACTTCCAAAAATTGACTTTTATGGTTTTTATTGAATTTTAGGTAATGAAAAGCTGTAAGGGGCTTCCACTGGCCCTTGAAGTTGTTGGTAGATCACTTTGCGGGCAGCCGGTGGCAATCTGGCAAAGTCATGCAAAACAGCGGTCTAAAGGACTATCCATCTTTCATTCTAGTGGTGAACTGCTTGCTCATCTTCAAAGCAGTTTAGATGCCATGGATAATAAGGTAGGAATAAAGGACTGCTACCTTGACCTATGTTCATTTCCTGAAGATCACAGGATTCCTGCTGTTGCGCTCATTGATATGTGGATGGAGCAATACAAACTTGATGAAGATGATGATGCCATTGTCAACCTCCATGAACTCTCTTCCAGGAATCTGGTTAATCTTGTAGTCATGAGGTATGCTAGTTGGTTCCTACTTAATTTCTATCTATTGTAGCTTGAATATCCATGTCTTAACATTACATTCATTCCAGTTAGCTCACAAATTTTATTGGCACTAGTAATTTTTTTATTCTCTTCAATCTATTCATATTATAAGGGTTTCTCTTGTCATAGCCTACAATTCAATTAATCTGAATGTCAATCAAACAGGAAAATCCTCAACCTTTGCTTCCTTGATAAGATAGGCACCAAGTTATTGTTTGTGGTATACCTGTTTGAATCTCTACCCAATATATTTATTGTTGCTTATTCACCAGGAAAGATGCAAGTGAAGCCGATGGCTACTACAACAATCACTTCATCATGCAGCATGATCTTCTAAGAGAGCTGGCTATCTATCAATGCAGCTTAGACCCCATAGAAAAAAGAAAGAGGTTGATTCTGGAGCTAAACAATAATAAATTTCCCAATTGGTGGTTGGAAGAAAAGCAGCAACCTGTTGGTGCCCGCCTCTTGTCTATCTTCACAGGTTGTTATCTCTCCCTCCCCAGTCTTCAGACACATGCACACACGATAAGAAATTTAGTCCTTCTACCACTAATTTCTCATGCCATTGGTGACCATAGATGAAACATTCTCTTTCAATTGGGGCAACAGTATTCAAGCACCAGAAGTTGAGGTTCTAGTTCTCAATTTTCGGACAAAGAACTATACCTTGCCTGTCTTCATGGAGAAAATGGATAAATTGAAGGTTCTGATAGTCATGAATACTGGTATCTACCCAGCAGAATTAAGTAACTTTCTGCTTCTGAGTTCTTTATCCAATCTTAAGAGAATTAGGTTAGAGAAGGTGTCAATTCCTTCCCTCTTTATGAGCTCTTTACACCTAAAGAATTTGCGAAAAATGTCCTTGGTTATGTGTAATATCGGTCAGGCGTTTAAGAATGGTACTAACAAGATGTCAGACATTTTTCCAAATCTTTTGGAAATTGACATAGACTATTGTGATGATCTGGTGGAACTGACTGATGGACTGTGTGATCTTGTTCAACTGATGGAGCTCAGCATCACCAACTGCCACAAGCTTTGTGCACTGCCTGAAGGCATTGGAAATCTCTTGAACTTGAAAGTGCTGAGACTAGCATCTTGTACTGAGCTCATAACATTACCTAAGACCATTGGGAGCTTATCCGAGCTTAATATTCTTGACATTTCCGACTGTCTAAGCATCATCAACCTGCCGGTCGAGATTGGTGAACTGCAGAGTCTAAGGAAGCTTTATATGAGAGGGTGCTCCAGTTGTAACCTACCTCCAACAATCACAAAGCTTCATCATTTGAAAGATGTCATATGTGATGAGGAGACAGCGTATCAATGGGATTATTTCAAATCTCACCTCATTAATCTAAGGATAACAGTTCATGAAGAAGATATCAACTTAAATTGGCTTCAGACATGTTTATAAGATTCCATTTTGTTGGAATATTTTTAAAATAATAAATTATTTGAATTACATAGTTATATCTCTTTAAAAGATATAATTATTTATTAAAAATTATGTCTTACAAAGAATTAGATTGATAATTTTAAACACAATAAGGTGATACAATACGAAAAAGATATAAAAAAATTTATGTATTTAAATAAATGTGTTTCATATTTATTTGTGTAGACATAAATTTTAATGTAATACAATTTGTGTTGTTGATTCACCTAAATATGTGACACGATACGAATAACACGTTTAATTTAATCTTATAATACGAGTATACATTTAATATGTTTAATATGTTTAACATATTGTTTATATTTATTTTAATTTAATATAAACATATAAAATTTTTTTAATTTTTAATCTTTTAATTATGATATTTAATTAGTTATTTCATTTCATATAAAAATTATTTTAAACATTTAATTATGATACTCATTTAATAATTGTTATAAAATTATTTTTATATTAATAATATAAATACAATATAAATATTAATATAAGTTTATTCATTATTATTTTATTCTTTAATTTTTAATAATTTATCATTTTGAATTTGATATTAAAAATTAATATCGTTATATAATATAAATTAAAATCAAAATATATATATTAAATACATATTAAATGAGTATTAAATTTTTTTATTTTTTTAATATATAAGTATTTTTTATATTATTAATATGTTAAATTTATTAAGTTATAAACAATGAATAGTTTATAATTATTTATTATTTTAATTTTATTCTTATATATATTTATATTAGTTGTGTCTATTCATATATATATCTGTATTAGTTGTGTCCATTCATTTATATTCATGTTAATCGTGTATATTTGTATCGTGTTTAAATAAATTAATTATATATGTATTAATCGTGTCGTATTACGTTTAATACATATATTAAACATATTTTATTTATGTTTAAGATTTAAACACATTTTTATAATTTGTATCATATTTATGTTTTAATAATTTGTATCATTAAACGTGTCAAATATAAGATATAATACAAAAATATGAATTATTAGATCTAAAAAAAAAATAGTATCTACACAAATAAACAATATTTATTCAATTTTTCGTGATTTTCTAAACACCAAATTCTAACACATTTTTTATCGTATGGTGCCGGCGCTCCCTTTCTTTTCATGCACGTTACATTATCCTCAAGGATATCATGAAGCTGTAAGATGCCCCAAATGGAAATACAAGAATTGTTAACAAATTAAATCCACGTTTATAGACTTTAATTTCTGACTTTTCATTGACATTTATTGATTAGGTCAGAATAGATTCCTTTATTGGTTGGGTCAGAATAAATTTAACAATTTATATATTTCACACCTGTTTTATATAAAATAGGTATAAAATATAATAATTATTGTTACAATTCCTGTTAAATATAATAATTATTACGATATAATTCATATTAACATCTCCCACATGAAACATATTAAAATTTTTCAAACTCAAATAATTTTTATTAAAATTTTAAATTATATTATTTTTATTTTTTTCACATCATTTTTTTTTATGTCGTATCATTTTTACCATCGTGTTTGGAATGGTAAAAATACATTCCTACCAAATAAAAGTGATTTTTATTACTTAAAATTGATTTTCTATTGTAGAAGAAAATAAAGCTCCTTTAACAACTTTGATTTAATAACGAACAACATCAAATTTAATGTCAAATACTTAATGAATTTCACTTAGAAGATTTGACAGGCAAAGTTTTTAAGATTTCAGTAAAGGCAGCTTCCTCCACTGTAAATCCGACTCAGAATAGATCTAAAGCACGCCAAATCTATGTAAAAACTTAAAAGACACCTATTACACAAAGTAGACATATATATTTAACTGCAAAAAACAGAAGCAAGCAAAAAGTTCAGGACCAATGCCAAAATAAAAATGAACAGGAGTTCAACGTGGAAGTTGGGGAGATGATCATTATATAGAATCTTTTTCCAGTTATCGCCCCCCTTTGTAAAGTAATATTAAATATCAATTTCTCACAAAGATCTGTATAAAGCTCCATGCTATGAACATAATGCAATCAATGAAACATGACAATTTGAGACCAGCATTGCGCAACTCACTACGGTCTTTCTCTCCGATAATTCAACAGGCACGCTGCCATAAATTCTCAGTGGCTGTCTTCACACTTTTACATGTCCGAAACAACTGCACCATTGTGGAGAAGCTGTCTTCTTCATGTTACATTGCATAGACTATCTCCCCGCTGCTATCAACATCAAGCTCAGATTCAGAATCGAGGTCATCCATATCTTCATCATCAAGGTTGTCTACCATGCAATGGTTTAAGCCATGGGCTCCAGCAGCTGGAATGGTGGCCTCAGCAATTATCTGCATGATCGTATCTGTGCTCTGCATAGGTTGATCAGGCTCCTCAAAGTGGTTACCCATTGCGTTTTCATCCATCAGGTCATTAGGAAGATTCTTCAAGAACCACTCATGATTTCTAATTTCAGGAATTGTAATTCTCTGTTACACACAAAATTATCCATTATCAGAAGGCTTAAATTACTTTGGAATCATGGTCATTACCAAAAATTACGACACAAAGCAAAAAGGCCACTCCCTTTGTCATCATAAGTTTCTCTCTTTCCTTTCTCGAATGTTCATGTCCCAAAACAAGTTAGCAATGAAAAATCAAGGGATAAATGTTGAATTGGCAGTAAGCAATAAGCAGAAATTACTCACAGCTGTAGGATCTGCAACAAAAATCCTTGAAATCAGATGTCGACACTCGGGAGATATTTGGACAAAATCAGGAATGGAATACTGGACATTAAGAATTCTCTGCATGAAGCAACAAAAGACATAAGCCAATAGATTTATTTGGGGAAGAAAATGAGACTAATGCAACAACAAGATCCAGTGATATACTTGTATTGTCTTCCGAAAGTCTTTTGGCTCATCAGGATCCTCAAAAGGATATGCCCCAACCAGCATTACATATAAGGTGACCCCACATGACCATACATCGGCAATCTGATATCACAAGACAAAGTCATTAACTCATTTTTATTAATTTTCATACTCTAACATCAACATGCACGAAAGTACGACTCACTTGGACAAAAGACCACCAGAGAGAGTTAGGCGATGCTAACTCTCTCTGGTGTTCTTTTGTGTACTTTTTATTATCAATAACTTATCTACTGTTCAAGATCTAGCAAAATTTTCAAATATTTGCCTTGCATTAAGATGGCCCATAAGACCTAATAAATAATTAAGAAGAGTCTAAAAAAGTGCAACCATAAGACCTGTTCCTAATGATCAAGAGATAAACTACTGCCGAGGGTTTCACTCTTCAGTTGCAGCTGACCACATTAAATAAACAAGAAACTAAAATCACATGCTGAAGCCATCCCTAACAATATGTTATAGTCAAAAGAGTGCAAGTAACCCCAAACTTAACCATCAACACTTAACCAATAAGAGCTTAAAGGACCAACCATTCATTCCACAAAACTAAACCAGATTCAGCCAACAAATCCTCACATTATGTAAGCAGACCAATGATTTACCACCATTCCATGCCTTCCTAGTTAAAGGACTGCCTAGGCAGCAAAGGATCATTTCTATCCAGCATTTTTTACAACTGGCATCTCACAGGCTATGAATACTAAACTGTAGTTTTAAATTAACTATTGGGTGAAAACCATCAATTTGATGTCATTTCACCCAAACACACAACTAGAACTTAGTTACCAGCCCCTAGAACATTTACCTCTTAAGTCTTAAATAGGAATTGCATGTGAATTGTAAACTGACATTCTAAACTAATTTTAAGTATCTCTTAAATATACCTTGCCATCATATTCTTGCCTTAGTAGTACCTCAGGAGCAATGTATGCAGGAGTTCCAACGGTAGATTTTGGTTGTGAATGAAGAACTGAAGACTGAGAACAACAACAATCAACACATAAACATGAAAACGGTCTTACATAACTATAAGAATTATTAGAAAACCAAAGGAAAATATTTCTGAACCAAAAACCTATAAAGTCGCATCCCATTCCACCCAAATATACCAAAATAAATCAGAGCTAATTCCAGGACAGAAACAAATGATCATAATACAATCTAGAATAAGTACAACCTAACCAAAGAACGTAATTATAAATGATTCAGATATAGAAAGTAGAAACATTAACCTCATCGAATGATAGGATAACAACAAAGTTTCCAGCAATTTATACCTTGGAGTACCCAAAATCACATATCTTAAGCCGAGGAGCTGGACTTCCATCCAACAAAGTGTTTTCCAACTTTAAATCACGGTGGCATACTTGCTTCACAAGAAAAAGAAATCATATTCATGAGTAAAATAATTAATCAGGTTACACATGAGACAATTTCAGAAATAAAGAAATAATAAATTAGAACTACCATTGCGTGGCAATAACTAACACCAGATATAAGTTGTTGGAAGAAAAAGCGAGCCTGCACCAAAACAATGAATATAGAAATAAAACAAAAGAACAAACAAGAAGGGATTGAAATGAATGTAGAACATAGGAATATGAACCTCATCCTCCTTGAATCGACCATTAGTACAAATTCGCTCGAAAAGCTCTCCTCCCGACGCATATTCCATTACAATGGAAAGATGAGTAGGTGTTAAAATAACCTAGAGTAACATTTTCCATAGTTGATTGAAACATTGGCCCAATTTAAAAAGAAAAAAGTTATAAAAAAAGTAAGCATAAACCTCACCTCTTTAAATCTGACAATATTGGGATGCCTCAATGACCTATGATTGATAATTTCTCTTTGAACATTTTCATCTATCTGTATAACACAAGGTATCACAAATTTTAATCTGAAAATATAAACTACATATTAAAAAGTTAGAAAAATCATATAAAAAATTTCCAAAATTAACAAAATTAATATAAGCCCCAAAATAAATTCCCACAACTTAGAAAAATTGAAAATCCAAAAACAGAAAACTTTATCTTCAGTAAATACCGTAATTATCCACGCGAATTTATTTCCATAAATAGACCAAAACAACATCAAATGAAAAATGACAGCACTGATTATGAATTTACAAAACTAACCTTATCGCCTCTCTCTATGTACTTGACAGCAACGAGCTCCTTGGTGACCTTATCTCTCATAAGTCTGGCGACTCCGAAATTTCCCGACCCGATATCTCTAACAAAATCGTAACGGTCACTGTCGTGCATGATCGGCATATCCATAGCCGGCCCGACCGTTATATCTGCCCGATCCATTTTCTCCATTTTCAGTTTCGGAATCTAACCCTAAAGAAAAGAAAATCTCACGACCACATCACCGAGCTAAACCTCAACACCGAACGCGGTTCTTTTAGATGAGCCACTGAGTTGAACGAATCGATTAACAAAAAAAGAAATCGTTTTTAGTTGATCGGCGATTACTAGAGTGATTCTACAGCAGTGAGGGAAGGAGTGGAAGACTCTTTGGGGAAGAGGAAGTGACAACTCCAAGGAAATATCTGATAGAAGCAAGGAGGACAAGAGAAATTCGGCGTCGTTTGGAGGTGGTTGCTCTGTGGGTAACCAATAGGATTGGCTCTTTTTTTTTTTGGTTGCCTTCTTATTATTTGTGGATTAATTTGACCTTTCATGATAGCCTTTTTTATTAGGACTGGAAACTTAAATGACTTAAATATCCATGATTTGGATTATTTTCGAAGTGGTATCACGTTATTTTGGAATGCCGAGAGAATTTATTCGGTACTATGCCTTTCTACATTGTAAAACTGATCAACGGTTTTCTTTTAATCATTGTCATAATCAACACTGCCTTGAAAGGATGCTTTGGTAAATTCAGGTGGAATAGGACAAAGCTTTCGGAACAAAGAAAAGCGTCTGACTTTCAAGCAGTAGTTTTTGCCAATAAAGAAATTAGCATACGATAATAATAGACTCCATGCGCACAAAGAATAAGAACTACACTAATCTGTACCCTTGATAGGCTAGACTGTTTGAAATGTCAATTATCTTGCGGCACAGAAACTTTCAAAGACAGTACCTACGTACTAGATCGGAACACTTTGAAGCTTTATCGGTTTATACTTTATGGTTGATTAGAAATGAGAATCTTCTCTTTAGGCTGCTTTCCGACGACGAAGAGAGTTTTTTTTTTTTTAAATACATATTGTGCCAAAAAGCATAAGGTTTAATCCATGGGAATCAAAATTGTGATATCAATATCAACGAATTTTTATATCTATGCTTCTTTTGTATGATGGCTCCGCCTAAATACATCATAAAATTATTTTTTATATTTTCAAAAATAAAGTCTTTTATATCTTTAAAAATATTTTTAAAAAATTATTACATTATAAATATCAATTTTAACTTCTAATAAATAATAAAAATACTCTCAATAACTTATACACTTTAAAAACTACTTTGTATATCTCATAAATAGATTTTCCAAAGTTATATTATGTTCTTGATAATTTTTTTTTTTGAAAAAAAATATGATTCTCAAAAATTAATTTTAAAAAGCATAATATAATTCTCAAAAATTTATTTTCGAAAATTATATTCGTTATTAAAAATAAATTTTAGAGAATCATCTTTTTTTTTAGAAATCTATTTTGAAAATACATAATATTTTATTTAAATATATATTTAATGATAAACTCTTGATAATATTTAATTTAAATTTAAATAAAATAAAAAATTTAATTTTAAATAAATAATACTCAAATAAATCAATCTTTGTATGAGTGTCTGGCACAAAAAAATCAAATATGACATTAACAATGTTGTCAATAGACTAACAAATTTGATAATAAAAATTGGTGATCGAAAAATTAGAGATCTTTATTGCTAGATTTATAAGTCTGCTAATTACATTGTCAATATCAATATTCTATAGGTATTTGACTTCGAATTAGTATGCATACACATACATAAATCATCGATGTGTCTATTTTTACTTGATCATATTATGAAAATGAAAGAGACATGTTATTCCTCAAGCATGCATGGGCATAAAGGTTTTTTTCTCTTGAGACGAGAAAACCAAAAAACACCCTTTTACCTATACAAAATCAGAAAATAAAAAAATGGTGTTCTCAATTTTTTATATGCTTAAGAGAAATAACAAGTTTTATGTTATGCATGTTGAGAACATTGATTTTAGTTTCATTCGCATACATTATTAAATAAATGAGTTCATAAAACACATGATTAAAGTTTTCAATGATTAAAAGTAAATTTGAGCTTATTGAAAATAGATATATGAAAAGACTCAAAGACTTTTCAGATACTCATTTTTTAGAATACTTAAGAGTTATTGAAAAATGAATATTTGAGAAGATTTAAGTTTTCTCAAAAATCAATATCCGATAATTTTTTAAACTTTTCCAGAAATGAATATACGATAAGCTTGATTTTAAAAAATAAAGAAATAAAAAGAAAGAAATAATATGAATGAAAAATATAAAATAAGGGATTGATTGTATTTAGTAAAAATAAGAAATTGAATTTTAAATTTTTTGTGTATTTAAAAATAAAATGTATAAAATAGTAAAGAAGTGTAAATAAAATTTCCTTTATATGATTGATAATAAGAGATTTTTATTACATTATAATTTTGTTTGAGGTATAAATTTTAGTCGACTTTCAAATGAAATACTAAATATAAATATGATATAATAAATATAAAATTTTTAATACGATGTGAAAGAAAAATTATTTTTATATTATTGATTAAGTGATTTAAATCTTAATTAGAGGATTATTAGATGTTTCATTAAAATACAAAGTCAGAGATTTATTTTTTTTTTTTTTTAATAAAACACTTTTTTTTGTAGTATTTTCATATAATGGCTGTTAGCCTCCAAACTTAGCACGTTATCCCATATAAGGACATGTGGAAGCTTGTTGACACTAAAAAAAGGATAAATACTTGGTAAAAGGTATGGACGGCGGACTAATCCGTCGACGGTTTCAGTTCGATCCGATCTCACGAGGTTGATTTTTTTTTTTGAAATTCAAGTATCGAAATCGAGTCGGATAAAATAAAAAAACAATCAGGGTCGGGTCGGAGTCGGGTTTATCTAAAACTCGATTCGATATTATATAAAAAATTATTTTTTAATTAATTATTTAATTTTTTATTTTATATATATTTATATAATGATATTTTTAAATATTTTATATTTAAAAAATAATATTTTATTAATTCAGGTCGGATCAAGTCAAATACGATTTACATGATATCGAATTCGGATCGGATTTAGATATGAAAAATCAAAAAAAATTTCGAGTAAAATCGAATTCGAATTTAATAAAAATTAAATCGGATCAGATTCGGGACGAATAAAATCTGCCCTAAATCCGACCTGATACCAACCCTAGTAAAAGAAATACTTACATGAACCACTTCCCTTATTTTTCACTCAAATTTTAAGCGGTGATAAATCTTGGAAATATTATTAATAATCATACTAATAATTTCATGGGAGCTTTTAAATTTTGTCGTTAATTGTAAATTAAATCGAAATATTTAGACTTCTAAAGTTTAGAGTAGTATAGGCTTTAATTGGACAAAAACGAAGGCCCACGCTATTCCCAGTAGCATGTGCCCGTTTTACCTTTAATTTATCCAATTCCACGTTGGAAATTCTAAGTCGACCATTACTTTGAGGCTTCGAGCTTTGAGGCCGTTTAAATGCCCATATTATCCCCAATCTTGAAGGGTAACAAAGAGAATTTAATTTTTGCTTTATTTTTTTTAATTTTTTTATATTTAATAATTATTTTAAATTTCGATTAATTTATAATAAAATAGAATCAAATCTCATAAAAAAAATAAAAACTTTTAACATTTATTTTTTTATTCATAAAATTTAAAATTAAAATTTTATTTAAAAAAATAATTTTTTTATCACAGATTAACAGGTATTAATAATTTTAACTTTATTAATCACCTCGTAAAAGTAGTTAATTTTTTTTAAAAATTTTTAATATATTTTAGATCCAAATCTCAATTTATTTAATTCAATTAAAAAATTATGCTCTTAAATTATTTTTAAACAACTGAATTGTTAAAATATAATTAATGTGCATGCGATTTGAACTAATAAGAGCGTGGGAGTTGGGGGGGGGGGTCTCTTCCACTCAATCCGCGTATGAATTGACTTTCAGAAACGCATGAATTTTTCTAAAGTAATTAAAAAAAATTATGTACTGAAAAAATTTTCACCAAGTTTCTAAGAAATTTCTCTATTAAAAAATTATGTCAAAAAGTCAACCTATTCAACGCAAACTTTAGTCATAGCCATCAACAATTTGGACCAATTCTCAAGTCGTAGTTTACCCTTAATAGAAAACATAAACTTGAATAATTAATGAACTAATCTCCTTTTATAATTCAAAGATAAAATTTGTATTATCATTCTTCCCAAATATCTCTATATCTACATCGATTTTAATAATAATTGTAGAAAGAATTAAAAGTTTTTTCATCCTCTTTGATAATTGAAAAGAAATAAAACGGATTGAATAAATTATTTAATTATAAATATTAAATTATATAAATCAAAACGCAAGGTTGATAACTTGATGTTGCCCTCATTTATTTTTTATACATCGTGCGTGCCATTATTTTAATATTTCCGTCCACGTTGTAGGCCCAACTATGTGACGCGTTTACAGTGCGGCAAAAAAGCAACTAAATATAGAAAGGTTTGGATAGGAATTTTAAGGTAAATGCGAGGGCAAATCAGTACGATTGAAAAAATCCTTCGAAGAAGGCCACGAATTTTGAGATGTTCAGGCGTAGGCCCCGCACCTCAACTAATAAAATTCGCTCTAAACGAGAAACGGGTGAGCCAACCTTTTCACTTTTTTCCACTTTTCTCCTCTCGGTTTCAATATAATCTTCTCTGCCATCTGACTCACTGAGTCCGGAAAACCATAAGGAAACAACAAAACAATAGCCTCGGACTCGAAACGAAATGGTGTCGGACTCAGAGCTAATCGCCCGACTCCGAGAGTTCTTGAAAGAATCGGACCTGAACACGACGACTACAGCAATCGTGCGGCGGAGATTGGAGGAAGATTTTGGGATTGATTTATCGGAGAAAAAGAAGTTTATTAGGGAGCAAGTCGATGTATATCTCCAAATCCAGTTCGAAAATGCCGAAGAAGAAGAGCAAGAACAAGACAAAGATGATCAGATGGCGAAGATTAAATCAGAGGAAACCGACGACTCTGATTCGGACGTCGAAGAGGAGGAGAGTGAAAGAACGAGGAATAAAAGGGCTCCTGCAAAGAAAGGGTCAGTTATTAATTAATTAATTAATTAGTAATTTTTTATTTAATTAAAAGGTTTAGATAATGCCTGATTTATGCTTAGCTTCATATTAGAGTAAAGTGTAATTTGGATTTTCTTTCTTAGCAGTTTTTATTATTATTAATTTATTTTAACCGTTATGCCTTTTTTAGTTTTTAAATTTTTAAAAAATGTATGTGAAAATGGGGAAAATGTTTTGGAGGGCGAAATTTGACAGAACCTGTTTGTATTAATCTGAACAGGTGTTTAATTTAAATCCAACTCAGTGAGTCACTCTCTGAGATTGCCGTGGAACTCATCGCTACAAGGTTGATTAACCGTAACTCTGGAAACAAAAGAGAAAACAAAATTAATATGTGATTTTTTCATATACAAAAATAGTTCAGGCTTCGTTTATTTTTGGTATCTTTTAATAGTATTTATTTTGTTTATTATAGAAAATTAAAATTTCTTACAATTTTCCACCCATGTTGATTTGTAAAAAGCTTGAACAAAATTTTTTTGAGCTTCGACAAACTTTTGTTTAGTGTTTTACGAAAGTGTTCTTGAAAATGAGACGAGGATTAGCTCAATAAATTCATGCAACCACCTTTAAGAGTTAAGAGCTTAAGAGGTGGCTTCTAGCATGTCTTTATGGTTTAAATTCCAATGCTTGCAATCCTTTCCCTGCTTCGGCTTTCTTTGTATAAAAAAGTTCTTGAAAATGCTTTTAATATGATCTCACTTTCCATTGCTCTAGGCAGTTTGATTACTACTATTCAACATCTCCAAATTCAAAACACTTTTTTGTCCTTTGGGCTTTGACACATTTGATTTTATAAATTGTGGTAATATTTTTCCTCAGTCGTTTGTAAACGATCCCTTTTCATCTGAGGTGCTGCTGTTAGATAAATTGTAAAGAAGAAAGTTTTATGTTACTGCAATGCTTTAAAACAAGAGCAAGCTACAATAGCTTCTCTCTTTGTACTTTAAATTTGGCCTTTCGAACAGGTAATGCGGGCTTTTTGCTGCCCTTTAGTGGTATGTGCTCTGGCTGTCATGTTATAAAATTTTCAGTCTATATGTTGCAATGTTTTTTTTCCCCCTCCTTTGCACCATCTAATCTGTTAATTTAGACTCCCTGAGAATTCTCAACGATCTGAATTTCTTGCTTTCTTGTCGTTCTTTGATGTTTTGGGTGCTGGAAAGAAGGAAATGGGTTGGTCTTAAACTTGTAATAATGCAGACTCCATTTTTTTCCATGCTATCAAGATAACTAGCTTCTGTTTAAAGATGTCTTCCAGATTTAAATGACTTCTTATCGAAAGTTTGCATTAAGTCTTACATGTTGGACAGACTTCTTGTGTAGACTTTTGCTAAAGCTTTTAGATTGCTATTTCACGTTTGACAGTGTGATTATTGTGTGAAGTGCTGATGTCATATCAGCAGCTTATTGTATACCACGGATCCACTAATTTATCTAGAATATACCTAAATAAGAACTTTCATCCTATTTTGTCATGCAAGATTTGTAGTTTAGTAGGGCACTGAATCAGATGTTGCAATTGTCATCAAACTTATAGTTGCCAGTGTACGAATTTATTGTTGTTTTATGTTAAATATATAGGTCAAAAGGAGTCAATAATGAAGTTAAGAGAAGAGGAGGTGGTTTTAACAAAGTATGTAGACTTTCCCCACAACTTCAGAAACTTCTAGGAGTCCCTGAATTGGCAAGGACTGAGGTACCTCTAAAATATCCTGAAATTTCATTTTAGCTTGTTAATTTCATAATTAAGGAAGCTGCCTTGTTTTAAATTTTCTATTTTATATTGGTGCTAGGTAGTCAAGCAAATATGGGCTTATATCAGAGAGAAAAATTTGCAAGACCCAGATAACAAGAAAAATATAATTTGTGATGAGCCATTGAATGCACTTTTTGGTGTTCATTCCATTGACATGTTTCAAATGAACAAAGCCCTGTCAAAGCATATCTGGCCCTTGGATTCAGATGAAGGTAATAGCTTATCTGTCCCTTCTACCGTTTTGCATTTGCTAAACTTTTTTACATAGTGTCATTTGATATACTAAAATTTGGGCCTAAATTTCTTCTCTTTTGAAAATTGTGAATAAAAACTGCCAATTCTCTACAGATTTGGCTATTGTTGTCACCCTTGGAATTGCAATGTAAATCTGAAAAGCATTTCTTAAGTTTAATTATTATTTTTCATCTCACTCTCTCTTTCTCTCCCTCAGGAAATGAGGGCATTATTTACCTAATTTTCAACTAAATCAAGGAAGAATATTCTGTGTCTTGATCAATATGCTGCAAATGTTCTGTAACTCAAGTCTATCTATTATCCTTATCAAGTGCTAAATTTAATTATATTGGCTTTCATGTCACTGTTGTTTCAGTCAAGTCAACAGAGAAGGAAAAGCAACATAAGCATGAGAGAGAAGGAGGTATGGATGGTAAATGACTAAATTAAGGTCTTCTATGCAGAATTTGTTTTGTATTGACGAGAGCAGTTAGTATGGCTTATGCTCACATCTTGCCCACCATTGCTAGTATTAGTAATATCTTGCAGCTTGGACTAAATCAAGGAAGAATATTTTGTGTCTTGATCAATATGCTCAAATGTTTTATAACTCAAATCTATCTATAATCCTTATGAAGTGCTAAATTTAATTATGTTGGCTTTCTTGTCTCAGTTGTTTCAGTCAAGTCAACAGAGAAGGAAAAGCAATGTAAGCATGAGAGAGAAGAAGGTATGGATGGTAAATGACTAAATTAATGTTTTCTATGCAGAACTTGTTTTAGAATTTGCTCCCTTGCTATCACATGCAAATTTGGAAATAGGTCTTTTGACTGTTGTTTCTTGAAAGAACCTTCTCTTTTAGTGCTGTTGCTAGAGTTTTTTTTTATACTAATTCTGGCTTTGTCTAATCCATTGAGATACAGATGCAGAATATTGTTCTATATGCTTTTTTTTTTTTTTCCGTTCTCATACTTCTTTACATGCTTCATCCTAAATGTGTTTTGAGTCAGGTTTTCACTGGCTGTTTGCTAGAAATTAATCTCCTCTTTTGTCCAAATCCTGAACCCTGCAATGTGATGATACCTGTGACCTCCTTTCTTTCGTTCTTTCTTTCCTGTGCATCTCATTATTTATGTGACTGTATCAGTTAATTAATTAGTGTTTTTAAATTATGATAGGCAAGTTATTAGAAAGTTCACCATTATAGGTTCTTGACCTTTCTGTTGTTGCTGTTTTCTTCTTTGCCGTTTCAGATCCAGACGAGCCACAAAGAAAGGAAAAGCGACAGAAGGGATTTCTTGCTCCTCTTCAACTTTCAGATGCTCTAGTAAAATTTCTTGGTACTGGAGAAAATGAGCTTACACGGGCTGTTGTAATAAAGAGAATGTGGGATTACATCAAAGAAAACAACCTCCAGGTATCTGATTACTCACCTTGCAGAATTGCAATGCACCGTAGCAGTCTTTTACTTATTTTAGTGATAATAACTGCATAATAGTAGCTATTCACTGTAGTCATTTATTATTGAACTTTTTGACCTTTTATCTGTCAGTTGAATCTGCTATCTTTGAGTTGGATGTATAATATTGTACTGGCCAGCTGGGTTTCAAAAACAACAAGAATATTCTTTATCAAACTTTTTTCCTTTGCTTTTTCATGAAGGATCCATCTGACAAGAGGAAAATAATATGTGATGAGAAGCTGAAAGAACTCTTTGATGTCGAAACCTTCCATGGCTTCACAGTTACGAAACTCTTAGCTGTTCATTTTCTCAAGACCTGACAGTCAGATGTTCCAATATTGTTCTTGTTAAGCTCAAGAGAAACAAGGGTTTTTGTCCGAGACTTAGCTTCCTGTTTCCAGTCTTTTATTTCTAGTAATTTTTTTTTTTATGTATCTTCACAATAGAAAACCCGAAATTTAATTAATTGTTTTCCCCTTCCGGAGACTATGTCAATGGGGTTTTCAAACTTGATCGTAGAATGTAGGTCAAGAGACTGTCAATGTGGTTTTCGAACTAGATCTTAGCGTGTAGCGCTTGCATTTATAAAATTAGGTACAGGGATCATATCTGGTTGAGAGACAACTAATTAGTAGCTGCATTAGAAGTTTTATATGTTCTTTCAAGGCGGAAAAAATTATCAATTGAATTTGTTTAGAGTCATTTTATTAGTTCTCCTATTTATTTTTGCGTTTGTATATTTTCCGTTGTCAAAATCAAATCTGGGTCTCTTGGATGGCTTTTCGGGTCTCCTGAATGAAAGCCAGACATCTTAATCACTGGACAGATTTGTTTTTAGTTTTACTAGTCTTATAATACAAATTATTGTTAGTAGCTTTTTTTTCATTTGATTGCAATTTTGTTGCTTTTTCAAGGAGGTCAGATCCAGCATCAAAGTCTACGCCTGAGATAATTAAAGACCAAATGCATAATCAGAACTTGTATCATAAGAAAGATTTAATCCCTCTCGATCAATGGAAATTTAATTAAATTAAGATAGTAAAGTATGCTAGCCTTGGCTTCATATAATAAACTTTGATCTCATTTTCTTCCTCGTGCACTTGACCCAAATTGTCGGCCAAGGCTTGTTTGGCTAATGAAATAGTGATAGATTAAGGAAATAGAAGCATCTAGACAAACAAACTTGTATCATCACCCGGCAGCTGATGTTTGTTGTGGAAGAATATTGCTTGGGCCTACAATGAGCTGTTGTCAGTTGTGATTTGTTGTGGAACATTCCCGCTGACATTAGAGTAATATTTGCCACAAATATTGAGGATTTTAAGATTTGGGGATTTAAAATTAGAGAATTTGGACTGAATCAGTGAGAGCTTTGATACTTGGTGGCTGAGCTTGAGAAATGAAGGGTTTGGTTTGGCTCGAAGGATGGGTTTGTCGGCCACGTGAGAAGATAAATACTGGGTTTTGATCTATTTACTCTTTGGATTTGATCAAAATTTGCCCATTACAATTTTGACCCCTAATACTGGTTAATATCAGTAATTTTAAATTAAAGTAAAAAATGAAATAAAATATTAATAATTATGCCTTACCATTCACAAATAAAAAGTTAAAACTTTTTGAATTGGATTTGGGTTTTGGGGGCTAAACAAAGGAGGTTGAAGTGAATGGGAGCCCAATTTGGGTTTTTTTTTCCCCACCAAACTACGTCGTTTTATTTTTAAGGAAAAACAAATAATATTATTTTAAAATAAATACGCCGCCAAAATAAGAATTCCCTGGAATCTCAAAGCGCGCCGCTTTTCCTTCCGTTTCCTTCAACTTCCTCAAGCACCAGCGCTTCTGCCACTGGAAGCACGAAACGTTTTCCGAGCTCGTTTCGCTCTCCATTCCTGCAACCGCTAGCTATCTGTTAAGTATCTAAAAATCCCTCTTTTTCTAATTCGAACTTGTCAATGTCTAAAAATACTAAGATTTTCTAGCAAATTAAGAATTAGATACGTTTAATTAACGTAATTTTTCTACTTAAAACATACTCTTTCAGGTAAATAATCATGAGAGAAATTGTAACTATCCAAATAGGAGGTTTCGCGAATTTCATCGGTTCTCACTTCTGGAACTTCCAGGTTCAGCTAATTTTTACTTATTTCACTATAGTTTCTTTTTTTTTTTTGTCCTTTGTTTTTATTTTGATTATATTTCTTTTTATGCTTAAAAAAGAAGGATGTAATGCTTGGCTTAGTCGCTGATCCTTACGGCGATCCACTCTTCAAAACTCAGTGTCTAAACATAGATGTTCTCTACCGTAGAGGCGAAACGCATCAGGTGCAACTTTTGACCAAGTTTTTTTGATATTATTGTTGCCTAAAAACCTAAGACAAATCTATATTCATCCCGTAAATGATACGCCTTAATTGTCTTAACTATTGTTTAATTATTACTAGACTTTCACGGATTTAGTTTTAGCAGGTTTTCTTACAAGTAGTTAATCAGTCATTGCTCTGTGCGGTAAAATTGTTTATGTTGTTGTACATTTGCAGGGGATTCTTACTTATACTCCTCGTCTTCTCTCGGTTGACGTTCAAAAAGTTTTACTTGCAAAGTTGATGTGTTCTCTATCTAATCTACATTGTTAAGTAGTAAGATTAATTGTACTTATTCTTTTAGTTCAACGCATAACTGGTTGCTTTTCATTCATCTAGGTTGTATGGAAACAGTAATTTCAATTTGAGTTTCCTTTATTTATATATATTCTACTCATGGGACCTTTTATGCATTGCAGGATCCCTTGGATCAATTAGTTTGCAGGGTACCCTGTATAACGAGGATTCTAATGCACCTTCTGAAGTTGTTACATGGTGAGATTATTCATCTTAACTAATTGCATTAGTATTTTTGGTGTATTTTTTTCTTCCGTTTGCCATTAGTCTTTGAGCATTAAATAAAAAAAGTAAAGAACTAGCTATAATAAGTGTGTTGTTTTAGCCTTTTTGAGTGGCATTTAGATGGTTAAGTGTCGGAGTTCAATATCTGACTCAAGCTGATCTATTTACTGATGATTCTTGTTCTTATATATAAATATTTACTGTTTTTCTCCAACAAGAATGTTTTCCTTGGAACATAATTGACATAATTTTGTTTCAGCCTCATTAGATATTAATATAAGTAGTATTCTGTTTTACACAGAATGGCAACTTTCGCTTATGGTTAAGTTTTAGAGCTTGTAAAAATATACTGTGATAAGTGCACAATAGACTCCCATTTATTGCTTAGCACTTTATATTGCTCAATCTATCACTTTATCTTTATATCTCATGTCTGTCATGAATTACATAGAGTTCATAGTTATGAGCCTTCTAAATTTCTGGGCTATGTGCATTGTCCTTGTCTGAGATTTGAGTGTATAAGATTTCTACATGCACTGGACTTGAATGCATCTGAACCTCAGAAGAAAAATTTATTCTTGCAAAGATTGTATCACGAAGAGCAGAATGTTCCTTTGATGAATGGAATCAATGGTGGGACAAAGGATTCTCAAAATGAAATTCAGGATACCGATATAGTCAATTGTTTAGATAAGGGAGTCCAATTTTGGACGGACTTCTCAAAAGTCCATTATCATCCTCAGAGTTGTATGAAGTAAATGGATTGTGGATGGATGATCAAGAATTTGACAATTACAGAATTGGGAGGGATATCTTCACTGGGAATTTATGAGGAGAAGAAATATGTGACTGGCTTCGTTTCTTTGTAGAAGAGTGTGATCATATCCAGGTAGAACTTTGAACTATAGTATGATCCTTTGCAGAAATTTTCCTGCAGTATCAAAATCTGTAAGTAGAAAACAAAAAGAGAAAGTCAATTTTTTTTATTTGACAACGTTTAAGACATGATTATCAACTTTATATGGATGTTAAGGGTCTTGCTTAATGAACTTTTCTAGGGTTTTAAACTAAATGATGCTTAGGATAATTCGGTTTGGAAAGCTCTCTTCATTTCTGATTTGATTTTAAGCTGGGGCCCTAATTAAACATTGTTTGATGCTGAGATCATTTGTATTCATCATTCATAACGTTGCCCATTTAATTTGTTTGTCAATCATTGGTGATGTCAACAGGGTTTTCAATTCATTGTTGACAACTCAGGAGGTTTTTCGCCTGTAGCTGCTGATTTTCTGGAAAATATTGCTGATGAATACACAAAGACTCCAGTGTTGCTATATTCTGTTAGGGGTCCTGTTTCTCATATGGACCTAAGAAGCAGGATGCAGACGGTTGTTAGAGATCTTCATGATGCGGTATCTTTCTCAAGATTATCTTCTTTTTGTAAAATAATTGTGCCGGTTGGTTTACCCTTCTTGAGTAGGAGTAAGTCAAACTACCATTTTGATGATTTTAGCTGTTTTCTGTGGTGTATTTACTTCATACTATCTTCCATGGTTTCAAGTTGGATGTCCTTTGGAATCTTGATGCTCTTAATATTAAAAGGGATATTTTAGTACATATGTGCATCCATTTTCCTTTCTGAGCCTATAGCATATCCTATAATGGTCAGCTCAGTCATATTCACTCAAAATGCGAAGGCTACTCTTTAATTAGTAGTGTTTATGTTGGTACTCTTGAGGAAAATTATCGTGGCCCTTCTCTTAATTAATATGGACTAAAGTTTCTAGTCACCTCATTTTGAAGGTAAAGCTTCAAATTTCCTCAACATTAAAGATGAGAACCCTTATCACTGTAGTGCTGTGTATGCTGCGGCTCTACACTCCACAAGTCTCCCATACCACATGGAGCTACTTGGTCCCACTGCAGTTTCATCTGATGCCTCTGGTTCTGTGGATGTTAATGGCATTATTACA